TGTATAATAAATATACAATCAGCATTTTAGTTTACATAAAAAGTCTGATATAAAAATGTTTTTAACAAATTATTGGACTCATTCAACTAGGAATACCTAATTAAGCTTAGAAAAACTTACGAAGGACGAATTGGTAGCTAAAAACTTGGAATGACTAGTTTTTAATTATGTATATTAAGTTAGAAATAAATGAATGGAAGATATCTCACTAGACTAGCAGATTTTACTATTTTCGAGAACCATCTTGCATTAAACAATACTCCTAATATGTGTCCGTGTGTCTGTTTTAACCAACTTCAGAAAAGAAAGAGGTTCTGTACTTATTACTATATTTTTCATTATTTTTTTAGATATTTACTTTAAAAATACAGTTTGGTATTGGGAGAAATGATCGGATTTCACATTTATGTTACAATCACAGGCATATTTAGCCTGTATTCATTATTGTTAATAGATTTTTAATCGAAATGTTTTGTTTTTTGCGGCGTTCCATGGAAGCTGCTCACCGTGTCTAATTGGCTAGTGTTTCGAATCCAAAATTTATGTTTTAGTGCTAACTCTACGTCGTTTTACTTAAATACACATTTTTGAACAAAACTTTTTTGAAAGTCAAATGTTTAGCTTACGTAATATTGTTTTACGAAATATTTGATACATTGTAAAATAAAATTAACAATCTTTTAACCTTTTGGTGAAGGTTTTCGTGACATTTTACGCTTAGGTATTTGTGTAAAATTGAATTTATAATGTGACTTTGAATGTAGAGACCTTCGAAATACTTTACATACGATTTTGTACTTGTGAATCTGAATAAGTTAAGGTATTTAATAATATTCTTAATAAACAAAATAACATTATTATACTCGTAGTTTCTAAAGCTAAAACTAAATATTGTTCTTAAATGTAAAATGAATGTAAAAGTTGATACAGACTTATTTCTTCTAATAAAAACTTTTTGCAGCAAAACTCTTTGCCGTTCAAACCTGCCAGCGAATCGCCTTAAAACTTTTCTAACATAATCTGTGGAGACCAAACTGTATTATTTCCATGGCCCATCCAGCCTCACAGCACAATACCACTACACACGCGCTAACGGGTAAGTTGGTAACGGTATATTACACTTGGAATTTGAAAATCGAACGCGAATGAATCTTGTCGTTTGTTTTTTCTTAATTTGTGGATAATGGTCACAGAACACCTGTTATTGGTTGGTCATTTGTCGTGTAGTCGCGACGCGCGTTTCTCGCGGGGGCCGGTTGTGAACTGCCCGCGATTGTTTACGGTGTACGAGCGTCGACTCGACAAAGAACCTATGGGGTGTGTGTTAAGTGTTGGTTTTGTGGATAATGGTGTACGGCCTCTGAGAGGCTTTGTAGAATTATTGATTCATATTTCACGAAAAATAAATAAACTATTTACTGACAAACAGAATGAAATTAGTTTATTATACAAAAGGCTATTAAAACTGCAAGTTAAAATGTTAAAAAACAAAAGTAGTAGTGTTTTAACAAATCATATCATAAATCTGAACGTAAAAATTGCAAAAAAGAGTCCCCGACTGAGTGAAAGAGACTGAAAATCCTTTCTCACACGACATTTTACTTTTTGATTATGATAATGAGGATTATTATGTAAATACTACTTGGAAATGAACAGTTGTAATAATAAAAATGTAAAAAAAAATATCATACTTACATTGTAATATCAAAAACAATAAAGTTTAAGAAAACAAGACTAAACACTTTCATATTTTTGTCATTTTCTACACTCTAACATTAAAACGTGAAATGTATGTCAACTTTTTGCATAAAAGTCAAATTATACCAAGTGACTCCTCTGTTTTCTTTTAGTGTTTGCCCCAACCGGCGTGAGGCTCCACGGCCAGTCGGCACATCGGGCATTCCGGACGAAATCGTCAGAGAAAGTAAACCCTACCTCCACGCCTCTTGCCACCATGCCAGCACTCTACCACCTAAGTAGCAAGGACCATATTGGAATAAAACCTACGTGGATAGCCGTGGCATGCTTTCGGGCTCGAATTTTGAAATAATGTAAGTACTTGGAAGGAAAAATTCAAAATTTGAATTCTGTATTTTTGGTCGTCTTTTATTTCAATGTCTTTGATCTACCATTGTACTTACTGTCAAGAAAAAGCGACCTTTACAAAAAAAAAACTATTATTATGGCTCTATCTGGTGTTAAAAAAACATAGCACGTATTTACGTGGAAAGATAAAAGGTCAACAGCTTTTTTACCTTTGTTAATATTTGGAAATAAGTATCTCAAAGTGTGTATGTGATATTATTGACTTAACAATGAAGATAATATCGAAATCGCTGTAATATGAAGACTTTTTAATGTATTTGTTGTTATACAAAAACTGACCAAAAGCTGGTTAGTTATACCTACTCTCTGACAAAGTTTAAGTAACTTTGAAAATGTAACTTTAAGTACCTATAGGTACTTAAGTTTGACCTATTGATCAGCATACACATTGTTGCAATGATACATGTAGGTTTTAATTTTGTTAAAAGCCTATTAATTTAAGTATGTTTGTGTAAAAAATCAAGGTGTTCTCATTTTCGTGCCACTGAGTGTACAATAAAAGTTTCCGGATGTAACCTCTGTGTAAAAGACATCAACGAAGCAGTACCTAACAATAATCTGTATTCCACCCCAGTTTGTTTTTTACCTAAACGTTTATTTATTTATTTATTACTAGCTGTGCCCGCGACTTCGTACGCGTGAAAATCCGTTTTCGCAACATTTTTAATTTTTGCTCTGCACCTATTATGTACTCGTAACGTGATGGTTTATTTATAGCCTATAGCCTTCCTCAATAAATGGGCTATCTAACACTGAAAGAATTTTCCAAATCGGACCGGTAGTTCCTGAGATTAGCGCGTTCAAGTAAACAAACAAACAAACTCTTCAGCTTTATAATATTAGTATAGATATTGACCTATGGCTCAGTAGCATACTGATCCATAGTTTAGAAATTTGAGGTTTGAAAAACTATACTGCACTTTTGCCGGATCTTCAATCTCGGTCCCTCACTGATGAGGATCGCGACCACAGATAGTGTTCCTCCACAGACTGCGGTCATAAGCTGTGTGGGCCGCAAGATGCAGCCACCTTGACCCACAGTCTTCCTCATCGCAGTTGGGTCTACCAAGTGTATCATCATCATTGTGCTAGCTGCTGTCCAATGCTGGACGTAAGCCATAAATCATCAAAAAAGAACGTTCTTTTTAATAACCAGATACTGTCAGGTATTTTCTTGTGGTCGTCCGTTCACTGAGCTTGCCAATATCGTCAAAAAGACTCTCTCTCTTAACTTTACCCTGTGTCAATATAAATTATAAAATTTTATCGGCAATGTTTCACCTAACATTACAATTGCTCGATATAATAAGACAGGCATCCAGTTTGCAAGCTGAACTGAACGCACAGTTTGTCGTCTACAGTCTACCTAGACCAATAGAATTTGGAATTTTTATGATAAAATTTACTAAAACAGAGACTAAATTGTCTGAATTAGTGTTGCCGATCAAAATCAAAATCAAAAAATCAAAAAAATATTTATTCAGTTTAGACCACAAGTGGCACTTATGAACGTCAATAGAAAATAATAAAAAAAGAAAAAGGTAGCCCTTATGATCGATAGTCGACTATCGATAGACTATCGATAGTCTATCGATAGTCAAACTATCGATTGGCCTATCGATAGTATCGATACTCTCGACACTATCGATACTATCGATAGCTCAAAAAGAGGCAATGCTATTGAATATGTGCAATACTATCGATACTATCGATAGTATTGTTGCTCGTGAAGAATAAACTATCGATAGTATCGATACTATCGATACTATTGTCGCTTTTGAATAAAAAGCTATCAATACTATAGATAGTATCGATACTATCGATTGTTCTAGACTATCGATAATTTGGCAATTTACAATAGTATCGTTTACAATATTTGGGTATAATAGTCAATAGGCACAACAATAGGGTTAATGGAATACTTGAATTATTTAATATAGTTAACCATAACATTTAATTATATATTTCCAAAATTGGCAATACATTTTATTTGCCGTACTTAACTAATGCAGGTAGTTTTAAATACAAGTGAGATTATTATTTTTAGTTATATGTTTAGTTAGTAAGTCAAGCGAAACATTTGAAATATTGTAAAAATGAATTTAAACATACCCAATACTATTGCAAATTTACAGACTATCGATAGTCTAGAACAATCGATAGTATCGATAGCTTTTTATTCAAAAGCGACAATACTATCGATAGTATCGATACTATCGATAGTTTATTCTTCACGAGAAACAATACTATCGATAGTATCGATAGTATTGCACATATTCAATAGTATTGCCTCGTTTTGTGCTATCGATAGTATCGATAGTATCGACAGTATCGATACTATCGATAGGCCTATCGATGGAGAAGGCTTTTTCGAATGAAAACTATCGATAGTTTTACTATCGATAGTTCGGCAACACTAGTCTGAATAATTGTTCCAGTTATACAATAACTACTACTAAATTTCGGTGTTAATGTTAGTTGGAAATATGTATATAGTTTAAATATGTAATATTTTTAAATATATTTGAAAAACTTACTGATTTATTACCTTTATAATAATTTGATGAGATTTTATGACATTTGTTCTTCAAAATGGTTTAGATGTACAGGAACATGTAGAAATATTAATACTTTTCTACTTGTTTTGCAACGCAAAAAGTATCAAATGAATCAAACATCTATCTTTCAAACAAGACAAGCAAAAGAACAAAATAATCATACATAAAAATGTTGAATTATGATGAAAGAGTATATCCATTGGAGAAATAATTTAATTATCTGCATCTTATTTTTATGCTGTTTTTTTTATCTTATTTTGCAACAAAAATATATTATGGAAACATGCAGATATAAAGTAAGAGAAATAAAAATACAAAATACTGCTTATTATTATGTTTATATTATTCTTATTCTATTTCTATAAATAAATATCAAACACGTTGATGCAACGTGCTCTCCTCGACTAGAACTGATAGTTAAATTAAACGCGCTCTCTTTAATGTTAATTAATGATGAACAAAATTAAGTTATTTTTAATGAGATTTCAGTTTTAACGGCTTTTTTTTATTTTGCATTGTCTTGAAGGGCTGAAAGCTGGAAAGGATGTTTTCTATAATTATTTATAAAAAAAGCTTTTCGGCAACATTATTCATTGTCAAGTCTAAGTTATACTACTTAAGTATGGGACTAGGTGCCAAATACTGTAAGATTTGGCCTGAAATTCAGGTTCAAATTCACGTTTTGTGAGCTATTGCTGGCCCTGGTCCTTGAAACTTTCGAAATGAAAAGCAACTTTGGCAACAAAACCTTTTCAAATAATTACTATAGCCGTGTCGATTGCCCCAACCAATATTTGATGTTATTTTGTCTTTTTTTTAATCTTTGAAAATACAAACGTAGCCGAATGAGTTAGAATATAACCTATTATTTTACATTTGCGTATATCTAGATAGATTAACTAAAGCTATTATCACAAGCTATACAGCTAAGGTCTCTTGATGGAGGTTTGTGTTAGTGATGTCATACTGCACCACCGTGTGTTTGTGGTTCTTCTTCGGCTGGATCAAGTCTGTGCCCCAGGCCCACTGTAAAGAAATAAGAATTATAAATAAAACAAGTTAAGTTAAGTAATTCTAAAAAAAACAAGTAAAAATAAGTTGGCCTAAATAAATAAAAACAAAAACAATGCTATTCTTACTTAATAAATCACAAAAATAATTAAAATAAATTAGTAAAGGACTTACGCCCGTATTCACAAACGATTCTTGCTTAAGTGAAGCAGCAAATCGAACGCACAGTTGAATAGAGCTCTGTTCGTGTGTCACTCTGTGCGTCCACGCGCACTGAGAGACCTCATAGAATGTTTGCGAATACGGGCGTTAGCAACTGTGCTAGAGGTCGCGGGATCAATACAAAAAAGCGGTCAGAGGCACAACACAATTCTTTGAATGCATATCTTTGTAATCTGACTGTTTACTATGTTTATTTATAGGTATTATGTTTTAATAAAATAAAGTACTTAATATAAGTTAGCTTATTATTTTTGGTGTTGTGAAAAATGTCCAAATACATTTATTTATCTTACACCTTAGTAATAAATAAAAAACTTTCATGCAAACTATGCTAACAAATGTTCTGAAAATTGTTAACATAACGACACATGTAAAATTCTAGAATGGTCTAGATCGCTACGATTAGTAAAAGTTCCACTGGTATGAGTAACGTAAGAGCTAAAAATACATTTATAAGCATTTTATCTTATACAAAAATAAAATAGCATTGAAATAATGACCTATTATGTTGTTATTTCGGTACAAAAAGATAATCTGCTTCGTCGGGTAGGCAACCGAGTTATTTTCTTATCAATTAGGCGTCCATGTGGTTTTTTTTAACCCATTCACTCCACACATGTTACTGATTAAGCAATGATGTCAATGACTTATATTACACTAGCTTTTTTATTTATTTATTTATTTATTTATTTATTATCAGAAAATGTATGTTTACAGACAGGTCCAAAACACATACATATAATATAATTAATTTACATTTAGTTGCATGTCATAAATTAGGATTACCATGTCAAATCAAATACAAAAATAAAATACATTATCATTAATATGGTCATTAAATACAAGTCATAGCTCCAGAGACAGGCGTCCAAGGAAGAACATAATGTAAAACAGTCAAGTTTTGCCCGCGGGTTCGCAGAAAAACTTTATCGCGCTCGTCCCTGTTTCAATAACCGGGATAAAAACTATCCTGTGTCCTTTCCCGGGACTCAAACTATCTCTATGTCAAATTTAATCAAAATCAGTTCAGTGCTTTAGACGTGAAAGCGTGACAGACAGACAGTGTTACTTTCCCTTGTATGGATGACTTGAAATCTCGTATTTTTCCTCGTTTTTTTCAGAACTGGCAAAATTACACGTGCTCTTGTTTTTATGGATATCAAAATATCTTATTTATTTAGGGCTTATTTAGCACGTAGAGTTTTACCTAGATTACATTTTAATACACGAGTAATAAAGACTACTATTTAGTTCAAGATAAGACAAGTGCAGGAAATTGCAGTAAATAGGTTTATATTATTTATTTGTAAAGTAAACAACCTGATACTACTCGTCATATTTTCACTAAACAACATCGCAACCTTAAAACTTCAATCTCAATTCAATTTAACTGAGATAATTAACTTGGAAGTCATTAAGTCATTTACTTAAAAGTCTATAATAATTAAGTTATCACTTAACCAATTATGTTAGCTTGAATATTGTTTAAAGTTTTAATAAAAAAAAATAAACAATTTTCAGTACAGCTTTAGAAATATTGATATCAGACCTAACTAGTGCTCTTTCTACTCGTAACTATCATAATTAAAGGACTGACGAGGCAAATGACTCCAGCAGGTATATTCAGCAAGCTTAAGTGGGCCCTTAGAGGTTGAAGATAGAGTGAACTACCAAGATTTTAGGTAGCAGTAGGTAGGGCTAAACAAACAGTTGTCGAGTCGCAACTACGGACCGGATCATTTAGTAATGGTCGCAGGAAATTTTTGGAAATATCTCTGAATGCAGTTCTACTTCTTTTCAAAAATAAAGGAATGTTTTCTTTGAGTAAAGTTTTCTATCTACAGTATTAAAAGTACTTTCCCTCCAGGTGGCATTACAAAATTCCACCCTGTACGTTCCAGTACCAGAGGTGGAATTGTGTAATAAAGCAATCGTAATCATTTGACAGTTCATAACGTACCATTATTCTGTCAAACGCTTTGTTTAACTGACTTTATCGTACGTTATGAACTGTCAAAAGATTACGATTGCTTTACACAATTCCATCTCAGATCTAAACAGTTCCAATACTAACCATAACTACAGCTCCAACAAGACCCAAGGAGAGTCCAGCTAGCACGTCACTCCAGTGGTGCCTGTTGTCTGAGATCCTGGATAGGACCGTGAACCAGCACAGCATGAGCGCTCCGAATTGGAGAGTGTGGCGGACTACCCTCGTTCCATTCCAGATCATACGCTTCTCTAGGTAAAGCTGAAAGGAAATGAAAACTTTCATTAATATGTAGAGTTAGATATTTTATTAATTAAAAAGTACGATAATATACAAAAGTAAGTATTTTTGCTTCATTGCTAAAACGTTTTAACATAGGTGACAGAAGCTGCAAAATGTTTTCTAAGACCCAGTTTTTGATTAGTAGTTAAAATAACCAATAGTCGGGGCTTCTTGGCGGGAATCTGAAGCGTCATGTTAGCGGTTTTGTTTTATTTTCTCAAATTCGTGTCTGGGCGACTATTAATGTGTAATAATGGTGGATTATTAACCATTGAGTGTTGGTGAACGTGCGTGAGTGTGGGGTAGTGAAGCAAAACAGTGCATCGTGATTCTTCTGGTTCTCTCAAGTTGTCCATAGGAGGTCTCAGTAAAGCACCACCACTTTACTGAGACTCAAAGGGTGGGAAGGGGTATCATCTATCATCCTTCATTAAATCATTACTTGATCTTTGTCAAGTCGACCTCGACGTGTATTGCCAACATCATTAAAAAAGAAGAAGAAGAACCAATTATAGAAGAAGTTTTTCGAACAATGGTTAGCTTGACTTTAAGTACATTTTTTAAATATTTGTTTACATTTTTTAATATTTAACCATTTAATATTTATGTGTAAGACCGTTATGAAGAAAACACTTTTTTGACTCTTCGGATCATCGAATCTCAGAAACGCTGACTCTTAGGAGAAAGTGTATAGACAATTTTGATAGATAATTGTATGGTCTTAAACCTTGTCATACATATTTTTGTGATAAAACTTACCGTTTGGCTGAAAATCTCAAAAACCCGTATTTTTTAACTTTGACATAGAATTTTTTTTAGAACGTCTTGTCGGATCCATGGAGACTTTTCACAGTTAATTCATAATGGTGCTCCGAACATTCGTACCAATTTTCAGCTGTATGCGAATTATTGCAGGGTTCATGTCTAATTTGACTAGACTATTAGTAGCAAAACAATTAGTTATTTTAACTATGAAACTAAAAACTGGGCCTTGGTTTAAAACTTGTTTGGTTTGGAAAACTGTCCTTTATAAACTGGCTCTCTGTAAAGTAGAACATATTAAAGGATGTATTTTATTACCGTGTGTATTTTGTTATAAGTCATCGTAAGTTCCGTTCAAGGCCGAAACGAATAATTTTAAAAACTATTTCAGTAATTACAATATTTACATTCCGTAAACCATAACCGTAAAGGTAGAGTTACTGAAAATCCACGTGTTCTTGTCAATAAACAATATAAAATTGTGTGAACAATACATCAAATATCGATATTTTGTGTCGTTTGTTGACAAGCCAACAATGCACTATAATCTGCCCATTGAAGAATTGTATGGCGACATGACATATTATTTCAAGACAATAGTTACTAGTAATGTAGATCCTCATAATTTATAAATACATTTTCTTTTAATATTAACTCTAAAAATCTTATACGTTTAGTAACCCGAGCAAATATGTTTGTTAATATCAAATCTAGTTTTTTTTTTCTTAGCGAGTTTAAATGAAGTCCAAATAAATAAGCTGCGTAGTTCTAAAAATTGATTTAAAACCAGGAAAGATCGCATGTAAACTCTAGATAGCCAGCCGGATCTATTACCATACCTACATTAAATACTAGTTTTTGCTGTTTTAAGATCCAAACATTCATATTTTTTGTGCTTAAAAGACAGGTTTTAATATTTTTATCAAGGAGCAAACACAATTTTTCAAGTCGACCACATTCCAAACTATGCAAAATGTATTAAAGACCACTCTAATGTGTTGTAGATGTACACTGGAAAAATGCACCCTGGAACTGGATAGATATTTTAATGCTGTAGCACTAAAAATATCATCTTCATGATGATGAAGGTCATGATGACCTGATGAAGTCTGATCATAATTAGGATTTTTTTTATCCACAACGAGGATGCTCTTGGCCTGCATCTCAGCTAATGGTAAGTGACGATCAGGCCGAAGGTGGAAGCGAGCTTCACCCGGAATCCTCAACCACGGAGGAACTGGCTATCTTACTCTTAACTGCCGGAACACAGCAATGCTGTTAACATTGTTGTTATGGCGACAGACTTAGGTATGGTGGTAGCTAGCCAGGCGGATTAAGAACAAGCCCTACCACCAACCAAACCGAACAGAAAAATCTGCCCGCACTGGGAATCGAACCCGGGACCTCTGCGTCTGAAGCAGGTGGTCTTACTACTAGACCGCAGAGGCGGAATTTCGAAGTACGGAGCACGACCCTCTCTAATTTACCAGAGGAGGCAAATTAAATGGAGGATTTGACCTACACGCTTTCGCAGTAAATTAAGTAATTATGATTTGCTTATGTAATACTAGCTTCTTACCCGCGGCTTCGCCCGCGTTTAATTTTGTCTGTCACAGAAAGACTTTATGGCGCGCGTCCCTGTTTCAAAAACCGGGATAAAAACTATCATATATCCTTTCCTGGGACTCAAACTATCTCTATGCCAAACATCAAAATCGGTTCAGTGGTTTAGGCGTGAAAGCAAGACAGACAGACAGACAGAGTTACTTTCGCATTTGTGATATTAGTATAGATTTCTTCCAAAACGATACTCACCGCCAAATACGTCATAGTATAAGTCGCCCACGAGGAGTGTCCGCTCACGAAGGACATACGCATGTTCCGGAACCTGCTTGTGAACTCTCCGGTGCAGGTGTACTCGTGCGGAAGGATGTACCGGTTCTGCCACTGGGGGGCGCTGCAGTCCACTGAAGGTTGGCAGATCTGGAGGAGGAATAGATTGGAGATAACGTTATTTAGATGCTGCAACGTTTGGGTAGGGAACTACAGCAAGATAGAGATTCAAAGATTATTTAGTTATTCACAGAGAAATGTGGTCTTAAGTTAAAGAGAAGTGCAGCTTATCTCACCAGCGCAGCTGGCATGTGAGCTTGACATTTTGAAAACTTGACATTTGCGAATTTGACAATTTGCGCATAAAGGGAGAGGAGAAAGAAGAACGAGCTAGACACCATTTGCGATCCGAATGGCAATGACAGTATTCTTATGTAACAACAAATTAATATGCAATGCTATACCTACCTTAATAAAAATAGTATGATGAAGACCCGTAACCAGATTGACAATTCTTAGGTTATCCATCTTGTTGCAGGTATAATTAATAACTAAGGTTTTACAAAAAATCTTTTCAATTAATAGTTTAGGTAAAACATTAAGCGATAAATATCGAAAAGCTCTTAATCTTCTATGGTTGAATGACCTACTCGTACTTCCAAACACCCATTCTTTAAGTCTACTATAATTGGTTGAGTTCGAGACAGCAGATAAACTATAATTAAATACCACACCACAACAATAACAAGTAACAAACAACATACAACTGCTGATAAGACAAGTAGGACTTACATCAAAGAAATGTGGCCTGAGTCTCCCAATGGTGCTCTTACTGATATTAGTGGCCAGCTCGACGAAGCAGAGGCCGAGGAAGAAGGAAGCCAGGGCGCAGTAGAAGCCCCGCATCCAAGGGTGGATGGGGACACCGAGACATCTCTCTTCGCACTGCTCTTTCCGCAGGAGTGTCCATTCGCAGATCAAGAACTAGAAAGAGAGAGAGAAATGATTAAGAACTAGAATGGCATATTATGTTCTTGTCTTTAGAAAATAAATTAGAGAGAGGGATGGATATTGTTAAAAATATTATTATTTACGAATTGGTTAAAAACTGGTACGTATAGAGACGTCATTTAGAAAATATTAGTCGTTCCGATACAAAATTGCACAGATCTTAAGAGTTTGAATTAAATAGGTAGGTAGTTATTTTCAATCGATGTAGTAATAAAATTATTAGTACCTATTTAAACAACGAAATGGTATTAATGTCCAATGAGGCGTCGATAAAATCAAAATTTAGGGAAGGAAAAAGATAAATTACTTCTAACTTCCTTAACTTAAAAAAATCCTCATATCATAATGGAGGAATTTTTATAAACTACTAAAGTATACATATTTTTCCTTAATTGTTTTATTCAAGTAAAGTGTCAAATCATAATTTGGAAATCTTAATAACAGAAAATGATGTTTTATTATGTCCTCTTTAAATATTGAATACATGTAAATGAACACCTGTACTTTCATCATTAACCAGTATATTTTGTAGGTCAAGACGAGTAACATTTAGTTAACTAGTAAGATCTATTTTTCCTTAAATCCTTAGAGCGAAGAATTTCTTAGTCAAGGTTCGGTAAATTGCAGTAAATGTTGTAGTCAGTCCAATTATAAGATCATTGCAGTTATCAGTCACGGAATAGATACTATTGATTTGCATTTGTTTTGAAATGTGACGTTGTTACGCTCAATGTCATTCCCATTCATTGATTTAAAAACAGCCTATTGTAGCGACATTTTATCGAATTCCACTGATACGGACTCATCTCTATTGTTATACGATGTATCTTTTGTATTATCTTTAGTACATTCACACGTGTGTTCTTAATTAAAGAAACTTACATTTTCTACATTTATTTCAACGACGAGATCTAGAAAACATTCGTTTCCTTACCAATGTACAATCGACATTACATCAGAATGTATTTTTTTTGCAAATCTTCACTTATTTTAAGATGTAATTAACCTAGCCGCAGATAACAGACTTTAATAATAAGTCAGCCGATTGTTGGGCCCGATTCTAATTTAATTTTGTATGAAGAATCGGCCGATACCAAATCGGAATAATGTGAGCACTTTCATACATCTCCATACTGATTAACAGTCCGACCCAACTATCGGCCAACTAAAAGTCGGTGGTCTGCGCCTAGGCTAAAAATAGTTCGTGACATCCAAAGCTTAGTGACCAAAAAGTTGATAACACAACCTTATTCCAATTGTAACAAAGACGTGTTGCGTGCGAACTTATTGATTTCTTTGGGTGTCAAGAACTATTACGCTGACTGTACCATCGATCTTCAATTGTCATCTCAAATAAACTCCATGCTTTGTTATTTTGTACAGCTGTTTATCTATCCCAAGGCAATTGAAACGGCCGGAAATGAGGTAGACATCTTGAATTGAGCCTATTACGGATAAAAGGTGGATAATGTGTAATGCACGAACGTAATTGTTGGCTCAATTGGCACTTGGATTCACGTTTGTTTATGGTCATTTCTACTGGCTGGTAGGTTTCCAAATATAAGTAGTTTAGATATAAAATAACTCCATACAAAAACTGTATTCCATAACGATGTCCGTATTTTTGATTATTCGTATCCCCAGAATTAAGGCAAAGAGAAAGACACAACTGCATTAACTGATATCACACTCTGAAGCAGGCCTGGTTAGATTATTATTTTTTATCAATTTGAACAATAAATTAACTTTTCTCAACTTTTGTGACTGTGATTATGATAGGAATATTATAAACGAAAATTTTTGTGAGGATGCATGGATGTTTGTTAATCCTTCAAGAAAACATGAACGAATTTTTATTTAACTTTAAAGCTTATAGATAAGAACAGCACAATATAGCAAATGGTAGTTTTTTAATACTCACAGCCAAAAGAGGTATAGCAATCCCGCCAATCTTCAGCATGTAGACATCGACAGTGTCTTCTTTGTAAGGGTACATCAACGTCTCATCTCCGCAGAAGAAACCCCGTTGGAAGGGGTTCCATAGATGGTCTGTTGCGATGATCGCTATCACCACTGGAAAGAAATATATCTGTGAGTTTTATTTGTTAAGAAGAGTTAAAGTACGAAGATATCGGTGAACTTTTTCTAGCCAGGACAGGACACGCCAAAATTATTTTCTATTCCCATCAGATATTTTCAGAGCTATGGAGAGGGCTATGCTCGGTGTTTCATTACGAGATCGAATCGGAAATGAGGAGATCCGTAAACGAACTAAAGTCGCTGACATAGCCCGACGGATAAGCAAGCTGAAGTGGCAGTGGGCAGGGCACATAGTACACAGAACCGACGGCCGATGGGGCAGCAAGGTTCTGGAATGGAGGCCGCGTACCGGAAAACGCAGCGTGTGACGTCCCGTCCACCCACGAGGTGGACCGACGACGATTAAAGGTAGCAGGAAGGCGCTGGATGCAGGCCGCTACCAACCCCGTGATGTGGAAGTCATTGGGGTAGGCCTATGTTCAGCAGTGGACGTCCTATGGCTGAAATGATGAAATCATCATGATGATGATGATGATTTTCAGAGATAAAAAAAATAAAGAAAAAATAGGTGACAGGGGCGGGTGTTTTTGTTACGTATAATACATCTAGACGTGTAGGTATAAAAGCTCTGTTCCTACACCACTTTACTACCACAGGAACTCACATCATACTTTAACGCCCGTACCTATTCACTATCTTTTCTATGCGGAGTCGAACGCACAACGTTGAATACAGTTCTGTGGGTCTAGACAAAGTGCAAATTATAATCGCAAACCAGTCGAAAAGTGGTCGAAAAGCCCCTTTTTTGTATGGAGTTTTGACGGATTCGATTTTCGATTCGATCAAAAAGTGCGTTTTGTCTAGGGGGGCAGGTCTTAGTTGTCTTTCTATGAGTACCTTATAGATGACACACGCTGAACTGTCCCACCAAACACAATGACAGGGGGGCGCTACCATCGTTCAACTATATGGTTTCCAACATGTCAAAAATCGGAACCAGCGATCCGATTTTTGACATGTTGACACGTATTGACGGTGGCGCCCCGCTGTCAATGTCATGGATAGGACAGTTCAGTATTTTGGAACTATATCAAGTGCGTATACAAAATGTATGGCAGATTGCACAGCACCGCCCCTAGCGGTGAGTGGCAGAACTAAAAATGGGTAGTTTGTGTAATTCACAGTTAGTAGCTAGTCCAGTCAATGAATGCCTTGACGACGGTGTAGAGAGAAATCCGTGGAACACAATTTCTGACCTCGGGACTTTATTAAGCCTAGTTAGGTGGTGAACATAGCAAAAGTCCCCGCCCTTAGCCCTTGAGCCGGCGGGGAGAGGGGGGTTTAAAGGTACCACTTTTCGGTTTTTCGCTTAATCCTCGGAAACTATGCGTCCTAGTGACATGACTACTATGAACCAAAAAAAGCTTAATCAATTTGCTACAGGTGAGACCGTCAAGTTTTTCTATATCTTGTATAGTTTTTGCGGCATCTGCTCTAGAAGGTCTGTAAAATTGGAAATTTTATTGTTGTCTTACATGTTCCTTTCAGGAGAAAATCGACGAAATCAACATTGAGCAAACACTATAGACATGCGGGAGCATGTTCAGCCTAGTTCCAGGGAGGGGACTGCACCGTGCGTATATTTAGACGAACCAATTAGAGCCACTTTTGACTCCTCATCATTCAAAAACTGCTGTTCATTAACACTTCAAATTTGGCTCATGTATTGAGACTTGCAAGATATACATCAGCTTTAAATTTCATAAATATACCTCAAACGGTTATTTAGGTATTGACGTTCAAAAATCGATATTTAGAGCACTAAAATCTATCTATCACATGTGAAATGTTAAAATTTACTGGTTTTTCATTTGTTCCTATGTATTTACATAACTACCTTTCTGGATGCCAAATTTGAACCTTCGAGGTCATCTGGAAGTGGTTAGAATTTGGTCTATAGGTCAGACATGTTGATTTTTGATCGTCAATATCTAAAGAACCGTTTGAGGCATATTTATGAAATTTGAAACTGATGTATATCTTGCAAGTCTCAACACATGAGCCAAATTTGAAGTGTTAATGCACAGTAGTTTTTGAGTGATGAGGAGTCAAAAGTGGCTCAAAGTGGTTCGTCTAAATATACGCACGGTGCAGTCCCCTCCCTGGAACTAGGCTTAACATGCTCCCGCATGTCTAGAATGATTGCTTAATGTTGATTTAGTCAATTTTCTCCTGATGGAAACATGTAAGACAAAAATAAAATTTCCAATATTACAGACCTTCTAGAGCAGATGCCGCGAAAACTATACAATTTATAGAAAAACTTGTCTATCTCACCTGTAGCAAATTGAATATGCTTTTTTTGGTTCAAAGTTGTCATGTCACTAGGACGCATAGTTTCCGAGGATTAAGCGAAAAACCGAAAAGTGGCACCTTTAAACCCCCCTCTCCCCGCCGGCTCAAGGGCTAAGGGCGGGGACTTTTGCTATGTTCACCTCCTAACTAGTCTAAATAAAGTCCTGAAGTCAGAAATTGTGTTCTACAGTTTTCCATCTATAATGCTTTATTGACTGGACTAAGCAGTTTAGTCGTTAAATATTTATAGATTTAAAAGTTTTTATGCAGTTTATCAAAACACTCCATCCACTTCACGTGTCCAAAAATTAGATAGTACCTATCCATATTTCCGCTTACAAATCCAGACATAAGTGTAATAGGTTATATTATGGTCAATTTATGTTCAAATTTAAGCAAAAAGCATTCTGTGTTTAAAAAATATGTTTATTTGCACCTAGTTTATCAATCACCATGTTATTTCTATGCTTTCTATCCTGTCGACTGCTCTAAGGACACGGGTAGGCAGTCGTTGAGATGACAGCGCGAAAATCGTCGGTATCCACTAATTATGACCCTTATTATACCACTATATTGACAAAGTTATCCGTCTTCGTACGCGATATTGGAAATTTGACATCTACTATCGGCAGAATGACAGTAGGAATCTTCTGGCTTTGATATTCAATTTTCAACTGTATTACCTAGACAATCAGTTCAAAATTGATTACTAAAAATTATTTGACAGACAATTTCTACTGTCGACAAATGCATTTGAATTACCCCACGTTTAGTCAGAATACACACTGCTGTAAGTAAATAAGTACATATAGCCTGACCAGGAACATAAAAACCCTGGCATAGAGGCGCGTCGATTGCATTTGATTGTGCAACACTGAGTACAGTCGTACTTATGTTAAATTAATAGGCTAACTTTATGTATCAGGATTCAAGATTACGGGCTAATTTGATATTTTCATAAATTAACGAAAAAATAATATTATAGGTAACCTGGTTTAAATGAATTAAATGAAACCATCAATCGAGCTAGTAGGATTTATTTTATTATTCATCAATAATAAAATTCAGAACTTGAATATTCAACTGCAATGTCTGCTCATGAACGCTTCAAACTCGGTACTTCTTTCCCAATTCCATAAAATTCAATACTTAGAAAGTGACAAAAATTTTTAAAATAGGTAGTTGAAACAAACCACAGCTAATTTTCATAGTGGACTGTACTATACGATAAACATGTCAGTCAATTTCACAACCTTATTCAATGAAAATATTGTTCGAACCCTTAGTCTTTCTCTTCGACAAATACTTTAACACATTGTGAACCACTTTTCTTTCACGACTAAGAAAAAGATTTTAGCAATTTAATTCACAAAATCAATTGCGCACATTTAAAATAAAGTTTGTTTACACTTTGACAGCAATAGACTGACATGCAAGGTGACATGTCAATGAAGTTTTCAGTTACTGTTGCCATTAAAAGAAATTAGTACCATTAGTTTTCCGCAACATGGCGAGGGTTTTTATGTTCCGGGTCGGGCTATAACATCTAGCTAGTCAAACCATGAGTAACGGTTTAAGTATTTGGAAAGTACATTTCAAACAAAATACATGTGAATCTGTTTATGAACTATTTAATTAAATACATGATATTTTCACAGAGAATCAGAGGTTAGTTTCAAACCTACTTTCTCTTACCTATCTACCTACCTACCTATAGCGATAAATGACAAACACAAAATTAGAGGAAGGATAGGTGAAATTCACCCGGTGATTGTTAGTTTATATTACCTAAATGTAAGCTGTATGTATTCCAAATACAGAAAATAAAATTAAAATACTCTAACTTATGCAAAAACAACACGACGGATTTTGATCAACAGCACCGAATACATAGGTTATAATTTGTTTGAGGTACCTACTTTTATTAAAATGTACTAATTTACATGGAAGAATTCGCGGGCAAAAGCTAACAAAACCTGGCACTATCCCATCATATCGTACAATGAGACTTTTATACACTATAACATGAAATTAGAGGGAACACTGAAAATTGCGAACATTTGCGGATTGGAACGGTGAAGGAAGTCCAACACTTATTATTTGAAGAACGTTCTCGCGACTGCGGCCGTCACAGCTATCACCGCCGCTGCTTGAGCCCACTGGGCTCCCTTCCGAGCTTCTTCGACATGTCGCTGGGCTGCCTCGGATTGTTCCTCAGCTCTTTTTTGCTGTGTGCGACACCCAGCAACATATTTCTGCACTTTGTCCATTTGTCGGCGAAGCTCATCTCGCTCACGCTCCATCCCTTTCCAATAACTGTCTTCATCGGGCCGCTGCTGCTTCTTGCCATCATTTTGCTCCCGCGATGAGTCTTGTAAACCATCCATGATCAACGTAGTTGAAGAAAATAGCAACTGATACGTGATAACTGCACGAATGTTTGTGAGGAACTGGACCATTCATTGCAATATCGCCGTGTACCGCTATACTAATAGGATGTATAATAATGACTCATCCGTTTCAAGCTGAAACGCGTTATTGCGTCATCAAAACTCGACACACTAGCAGTGTTTTTCAACCTGTGGGTCGCGACTCCCTGGGGGGTCGCCAAGCCTCTGTAGGGGGGTCGCGAGAGGTCGTAAAAACTACCTCAGTAAAAGAATCAGTAAAGTTATAAT